GAAATGCCATTTAAATTTATCTCCACGTCTCTTGTCCACTGGTCTTTACCATTTTAGACAGAATCCCATTTCTACCACCATGTAGAGTTTATATTAAGTGCCCTCTTATCTAAATGTCCTCTCTATATATATACATTATAAGCGGAAGTAATATTCAACAGGAAGTAACGTCTACACACATACACAAACATAATTTGGCTAAGGAGAATGATAAATTAGTCGACGAAGAATGCCAGACTTCCTGAAGTTTACCCCATCTGGGTCCAGTTCTTTCACCAAAGTTCTGACCGTTTCGCGCGGAACCTGCATCCATTTTAGCTTCAACGAATGAGTAATGGAACGATAACCACTGGAATTTCAAGGTCTATCGAGTTCCTGCCGAATAGCCTGGCGAACACTGTTCAAATTAAACTCATTGTTTTTTCTTCGTAAGCTTAGCGATCGAAGTCTTTAGTGTAAAGTTCCAAAGACACGCGGTTTAATTTAACCACGCGGTTAAGTCGGTTGTATAAAAAAGTAATTAGCGCTAACTGCAGTAAAAAGGTAGTTGAAGTTAACTACAAAAAGGCACTACAGTATAAATGTTGTACTTAATATACCAATGATAATACATATAGATACATGAGCTTTACAAAAGATTTTATTCATGACTACCATTTTGTGTATCAGCTGCATGAGATGAAATAATTTTAGTTTTTTAAATACGTAAGAAATTTCATTACCATGCAGTTTTAAGGTCCATGTTGCTTGATATATATACAATATCCATTGCACATGGTTTATTACACAAGCAATAAAATACACGACAGTCGATTAGTGGGTTTTATTGATATTTCATCATATATTTCCTATGTAAAAATGTTTATTTTTAATGTACATAAAATCTTGCCTGTCATTATTTTTCTAAGAAGCAGAAAGCTCTAGCTACTGTTTGATGATTTGAAAAGTAGAAAAAAAATGAATAAAACTCCCAAGCTTTAGACAAAAATAGGTTAATAAATCACAAAGCAAAAATAAGAGTTTCATAACTAAGGCTCATTAACAAATATACCCAATAGTTTTTACAACTTAGTTTTTTGCAAGGAAGAATTAAGAACAAAAAATTATTTTGTGTATAGCTGTGAATATAGCATGTCACAAGAAGTGAAAAGACAGTTGCTGGATTACATGGCTACTAACTATGATGACTCAAAGAAATGTTTTCTAATAATAAAAATAGTCCATCGCTGTCATCTTTTAAAAACATGTGTGACTCATGTCTGTACAAACGCATTTCTTTGAAGTATTTTACTCAGCTGCTACAAAGATAAACGAAACGACCTTTTCATTTGCTACCCTCATCACCCAGTTTTAAATTATGTAAAAGCAAGGCCATTTAAATATTTAAATATTTGTACATAGAACACCATATGAATAAATTTGAGAAGAGTTCATTGTTTCGTTTGCCCAAGTCCATTATATACAATTGGTACATGAAAGAAAGCAGTCCTTGCCGAGACACATATCATTCATTAACATCGTACTGTACCACACAGAAGATAAGGGTCGATTTTCTTAAGAAAAGTTCAATGTATATGATACAATTTAATTCGGTTACCATGTCACCGTTAATCGTTTATTAAATTTTCTTTTTGCATCATCAACATCCGTAAAAACGACAATAGTTTACCATATTTTAAGAATTTTACATAAGCGAAGAGATTTTTTTTCATTTTGAAGTCATTTTATAGTTCACTTGCCCGCCATTACAAAGCATAAATTGATTAAACTTTATGTCATTTAACGTAAACAACACTCCACACAAGTTAATTATGCAGTTACTTAACTTTCAGACCAACTACGTTTTGTACAACGCAGTTAAGTTGAACAGTTAAGTTACTACAGTTAAGGAGTTAACTACGGTAGTTAGCGTTAACTATAGTTAAAGTTAATTGCGTTTTTATAAAACCGGACCCCCCGTTTTGTGCATTTGGTCAGTTTTATTTTGCAATGCAATATTTAATTTGTTGATAACTTATATTTTAATTTGCATCGTGGCTAAATTGTTGCTCATTAAATTTAAGGGGATGTTTGTATATTGACAAATTACTTTGTGAATTGCAGATACGGGGAGCCGTAAATTATACATGAGTAAAACGACAAAGTAATTTTAGTTCTTGCAAACACATATGATGTTAAAGATCATAAAAATACACGTTGACTGATCTTGAAATCAGTAAAAACTGATAGAACATTGTTTCTGATTTTTGTCTTTAAACCTTTTATTGACCATAGTCTTGACTATATACATCCATATTTGACAAATAATGTAAAAAAATTTTTTCAGCTGCTCAAACAAATTTTAATTATTTAAAAGGACGTTTTGGACAGTATATAAAAGCGTAGATGCGTATAGATCTACATATGACAAAAGCGTCACGTTCATTGAAGTTATACACTTAATTTTACATTCGCAAACTGTTATACTGTCGATCTTTGAATATGTTTTCTTCTTTGTCAGCATATGTTCCGATTTCAACATACATAATCACAATTGCTTTAGAAGTATATTGTGGTATTACCGAAAAAACCATGCTGCGTTTGCTGAAAAACGGTTAGTTTGTGTAATGTTTTATGTTTGTATTTTAAAGTCATAACTTTTGAATTGATTTTTAAATTTTACATGTTACAGATATTTTTCGTGTATATATAATACAATTTTCATGTGCCTGAGTGCGATTGACTGTGATAGTTTTTGCAAGAGACACGCAAAAAAGATATCTTCAATCCTTACGGCCTGTTCATATTCGACGGGCTAGCTACGTGTGCTAGAATCTCACTACATATATTATTTTAGTGTATAATTAAAATTGTGTTCATATGAAAAGCGGGCGTGCCCGGCTTTGTAAGATCACGATTGAATGAAGCGGGATCTCGTCTTTAACGATCTCATATGAACGCATCAAGCGGAGCCAACCCACTGTTCAGACCTACTCAACCGGGCTGAATGTGATGATACTGCGCATGGTCAAATTACCACGTTCTCTTCATAACGGCAGCCAAGCAACAAACAAAGAAATATTTTTACTGGTCACCAGAAATGATTGAACACTTATTGTTGACTGATAAATATTGCCACTTGTAAAAGTTTTTAATTTTAGCATGACAATATAATTATGAACAATATTTGTACAAGAAACTATGGTGAGTACAAAGTTTTGTAATTGCCAAGGCAAGCAAGTCATTGTGGTCCACCTGAAATATAGTGTGGATAATTTCTACTTTCCCCTTATAAACAGTTTATAGTTTTTTGACTGTTCATTAGAAAATGCTACATAATTTAATCTTGCCTTGCATTGTTGAGTGGCTGTTTAGCATTTCAACAATGACAACAAAATACAATGTCACTATATGTTATGTTAGCCCTTCATAAATCTCCCATTACTACTTTATAACAAAACAAAACAGTTGTCTAGCTTTCAAACTGCAGTGGATTTTCTCCTGTGATTAATACCACTATGTTGAGTGATCTGGAAGCAGGTGTAGTTATAATAGATATATGATATTAAAACATTGAAAACTGTAGCACCTTGATCAGCATTGATGGAGAAAATTGGGTGAGGTAAGTTTTCATGCTCTTCATTTGCTTTGATTAAGTCTTATTTCTTCCTTACCAGATCTTTGTAAATATAATTGTTGTCGTGCTCACAGATATTATGCACTATATGACATGCTTAAACAACAGTGCGTATTATGTTTAATGATAAGTCCATTGACCTTGTAAGAATTGCCCAACGTGCTTTCAAACGCCCAAAAGCGCGCTTAACTTGGTTCCTTGCTGGTGTTTGTATTTCATTAAAAACGAGCTGTTCATTGCTTTTGCAACATTTGTAATCTTTCATACAAAAGTGTGTTAATGGATTTTCTGGGTCTCCTATTTGACAGTTTGGTACAAGGTTACACCCTGGAACAACTGACTGAAAGGTTCATGGAAGATTGTTGCCTTGCAGTTTATGATTAACAGAGGAGTTGGCAAAACTTTAGCATCATGGACACTTCCGTCCCACATACATTCATTGTCCATGAATTGCCCTCTGTAGTCACAAATGGCCTGCCCAATTAACGAATAAAATTGCTTGTTACAAAAATAATCTTGTGAGCTTTCTGCTGCTTTTTAATTGGTATATGTTTCCCATCTTTGCAGCTCATTGCTTGTATCATTGTAAACTTAGCTTGCAACTCAGATAATATTATTTTCATTTCTTCACAATCACGAGGCAAGTATATGTATTTTAGCAAAAGATTTGTAGAAATTGTCTTGCATACTTCTCCAATTACAACAGAAGCTGTATTTATTGCAATTGCGAATGTAATTGCCAGGCAGCCAGTATCTTTGAGATAATACAAACTTACTGCAAGTTTTTTTTCAGTGGACAATGAGCGATAATTTGGCGATAAACTTCCTCCCACCATTTGTTCTAGCCTAAACCAAGTCTCTCCTCTTCTTTCGTAGCAATATTCCTCCTCTTGCATATTTCAACTTTTGATAAATAACAGATCGTCTACTCGATGAAATTCTCATAATCTCATCGTTCTTTTGCTTAACATGTGTTTGCAAGTCAAAAAAACTCTGTTCATTTGAAAAACGAATGAAATAATTCTTCCTATCACCACTGCAATTGCCGGTGATAACATGATTTTGCTTTTAACTTTTAGGTCGAAAATCTTAAAATGTTTTAAGTATAAAAATTTAAAATGATGCAACTTGATGTAAACATATTTAAAAATTTCCCGCAAAATGCAACATTTATGCGAAGAAATTTATTACGTCATATTAGCTAAGACAGCCCGTTTCGTATGAACAGGCCCTTAGGGACCTTAATTTGATAACAAATTTAAATTTGGTTTTGAAAAGCTAATTTTACAAATCTTTAATTCTTTGTATTGAGATACATTGTTCAAGGCAATATTACTCATGCAACTGTATTTTGAATTTTAGAGACATGTAAATTAAAAGAAAATGTTTTGTTTGAAGCATTTTACTCATCGGCAGATTCATGTGCATTAAAATGTTTACAAGAACCATTCTGTGTTGGGTTCAACTTTTGGGAAGGCATAATGATGGAAGATGTAACTTGTCAATTAACTCACAAACGTCTACAGAATTATGAAATATGTACGGATAACAAGTGGAGTTTCTATGAATTGCTGAATCCACAAAGAAAGGTATGATGAAAAAGTATGTCAATGGTTTTAAATTATTTTTATTGACAAAGCTACTAATCTTGATTAATTGCACACTTGATTTATAAGCATACCATACAACAAAGAAAAGTTGCGTAAAAATGGCGGAATAATGACTGTTGACCTGAGAGACGGACCTGGTTCTGATCCTTACAGATGTCAATGTCCTTTTGGCTTTACGGGAAGATATTGTTCGGTAAAACTAAGTAAGTTAGTTAGAAAACAACAAGCAGTGCAATTTCTTAAGATGGTTGCAATCTTTTGCCTTCCTCCCTAATCAAATTTCACTTAAAAAACAAAACATGACGAAAACATATGACTTAATAGCTACATTAAAATTTGAATATGCTGATTTTAAGCTAACCGATATATATTCAACGACCAGGACAATCAGACAATTTTAAATAAAGCAATATAAAACAAATTCCGAAAACGGACATCTCGTTTTCTTGATATTCAAGTTAATATATAAGTTTGAAATTGAAAGTGTAATGTTTCGTCTTTATTCCAAAGACTTGTTAAGCCTAGGCCACACTATCGTCCGAACGAAAACTGCCGCAACGAAAATTTTGAACGAAAACTCGACGAAAATTTCATTTTCGTGCATATTAGAAGAGTTGAACTTTTGACCTTTTTCGTGAACGAAAACGCATACTATTGGCTAATAATATCAGACTTTGTACTCAAACATGGCGGAGGGGCAAGAGGTTTTAATAAATCAGGGCTAATAGACTTTCTAAGATGTGTGCCAACTTTAGTGATGTGAGGTTTAATTAAATCCAAAATGTAGTCAAATATTGTCGTCGTCATTCACAAGTATTTTATGTGTCTATTTTCATTGTTCGGCTCTCGTAATTCTTTAATCAAGTTGTTAAATAGTCCAAGACGATCACGTCGTTTATTAATTGGATGAATTCAGTATCGACGTTTGCTGTTGCTTGTTTTCAACTTTAAAAGCAGTAACTTTTCTTAAGAAGAAATAATCTTTTTCTTTTGGAGATCGTCATTTTTTCTAATCCGTCAAAAATGCCGCTTGCTCATTGGCCAAAAAAGTTTTGGCTTTGCAAGCATGCTTGTAATTTTTCGCCGTGTCTGGCATGCATTTCGTGCGGAATTTTCGTTTCGTTTTCGTTTTCGTCAATATAGACAATAGTGTGGCCCAGGCTATAGACTAATTGTTTACAATGCATGATGCGAAACTTTTATAAATTATTTACAACGGAAGTGACAGTTACGTAATTCAAGAACAATAAGACTCAACAATTAGGCAGTATACTAACATTTAAAATAGAGATAATTTCTTACAGGCTTTAAGACCACAATTAAGTTGTGGCATATTGCGTTTCATCAAAAGTGCTCCTAAGATGAGAAATTGATTAGGAGTATTTTTCTCCGTTTTCGGAATTTGCTTATTTTGTTCTATATATATTCTGTAGAGTAGAGAAGGTCTTTGTTTCTTAAAACTTTTTTTTGTTTTCCGATGTGCAATGGCTTTACAAAATTATTATAATCCAACAACGTTAAATAAGATGAATTGCGAAGGGCTTTTTTCAAAAATAATTTGGTACAAAAAACTGACCCTTTTTCATCGCCAATGCTTAGAGTTAATTAGCTGTAATAGTCTTTTTCTCTAAATCTCTAACTTTTCCTAAACCAATCATATCATTATAACGTAAATTTTTTTTGGGATCTCGAGTTATTTAAAATTTGATACAAATTGATTTATACTAAAGAGGCCTATATCTTAAGCAAGCACAAGAACTTGCGGAAAATCAACACATTTTATTTTTTTGGCATGGTCTGTCAGCACTGTTGTAATGTTTGTAATGAACTTTTTGTTAGGTTTTTAAAAATCTTGTACGTAACCTGACAAACATAATGCACGGAAAACATTTCAGAAAACAGTATCAATCTGAAAAATAGCTAGGCTCCTCCTTTGAAAGTAAATAAGAAAATGAAAGTTATTTTTCTTTGTTTAAGATGACTTAATTGTGACATCATAGAAACGATTTTGCGCAGTGGAGCATATAGCATCATATAGCATCATGTAGCATCATGTGTCTTTAACAGAATTTCTTTTTTTCTTTCTATTAACATTTTCATCTGTCCAAGCTTTGGCATAATGAGTACTCATTACCAGGACCGAAACGAGAACGTTAATTTAAGGGGGATATTCTGCTATACTTAGCTCTGCTCGACTGATTTTGTTTGTTAAAGTTATTATTTCAAGAGATATCAGTCGGGCAGAGTTTAATATTTGATTATTCACCCACCCCTCAAAAATAGCGTTCTAGTCTTGGCCCTGCTTATAACAGGTTAACGAGAAATCTATAGTGCTATAGGGATGTGTCAATTCTTTTAAAGGCTTGTCCAACTGGCATCACTCAGAATAACATTGACATCGGATCAGAAGTAGAATGATTTAGAATAACAATGCAAAAGTATTACTACAATGAACTCCATTGCCCGACATTAAAGAAAAGTAGGCTATTTTTACACCAGAACTTTTGCATTGTTTTTCTAATTCTAAAATACGGTTTTTAAACTCTTTGGTATCTACTATTCTGCAGAACTTGCAAAAACTTTTAAATTTGAAGTCACTAGCTTTTCTGGAAATATTTAGATTTGTCACCATCATAAAATCTCTGTTTGATTTAATTCATACTATATTATCTTTAGTTTTCTCTTCATGCGAGGAGGCAATGAGAAATGACAGGTAAAGTAAATTTACTATAATTAAGTCAATAATTTACAGAATATATGATATAACTAATGTGCAACCAAAAATCAATTAAGGTATAAACTTGTGTTTTTATCAAATATTTAAAATTTTCGGAGTACCATATTTCGTATTGCAATATAAATATTATAGAAATTACAGTTGGTGCTATTTTTGCTCTAGTCTATCAAAAATGGTTTTGGCTTCAATTTTTTGGTCCAATAAATTTACCATTTTTTTCGATTTTTCTGAATGATATTATTTAAATTACAATTATCCCTTAAAATATTATCGTAGCATTTTTTTTTGTTTTTCTCTAATTAACATTCGTCTTTAATAGTTTAAAGGACGGGATGTACTTGATTAGCACCAACACTTTAATGGGATACAGCAAAGTTTTTTGTATGCGTAAAATAACGGGTTGCTCGGGAGAAGGCTGGACACTAGTCTTGAAAATTGATGGAACAAAGGTAAAAAGGAAATATTTTTGAATGTTTTGATAGCTAATAGAAAATTTAAGGAAATCTAATTCCTAAACACAATTTTTTCTTCCTAAAAATAGTTCTTATAATGACAATATTAATCATAAAAATGATATATTTTATGCGCAAAATGAAGTGAAAGCAATAAATTCTTAAAATTTCTAATGATCTTAGAGGTGAAATGGATTTATTTTCTAGTAAAAAACACATTATTTGCTTGCATTCTCATTAGACAGGCTAAATTTTCACTTTTTAAATATTGCATATGATTATTACTGCCAAGGGTGGATGGCATTAAAATTAAATAAAAGAAAAGTTTCTTTTTCCATGCACTTTACTTTACCAATGACTACTGCAATTTGTGGTAATTGCTGAATATCGAATAATTTGACAATAATACAATTAAGTCCAACATCGTTGCCAGAGATTTACCAGGAAGATTGCAAATATGGGCTATTATATTCTGAACGAAGATTCGCTTTTGCCTGGTAAGTCAGACATAGTATTTAACACCCTTGATAACCTTCAGATGATTTTATTGAGAATTTAAGGCTATATTAAAACCTTGAAAACACTATGTCACTTCTCATGGTAATTCTTGCCTCGTTATATGTGTATCCAATATCGAATGATATGCATTTTAATAATAGAATATTTTTCTTCTAAATAAGATTACGAAACACCCTAATACAAAAATGGTAAGTGTTTAAGACCCTAAGACCCTATCGGGTTTGTGCCGACTTTCTATAACTTTCTAAGGAACGTTCTAAGGGTAGCTCTTTTCTTCACCTAATAGGCAATAAAAAATTTTAAAAAATTAATAATATAGTGCATGCACTGAGAGATCATAAATCTATGCTTTGTGGACGTGTCAAACTTTGCCTTAAAATAGAACACATAAATATCAGACAATTTAACTATAATGTTCTTAGAAATTTTTCATCCAGTATCTTTATTGAAGTAGCTCATATACTATTTTACAATTAGACAGAATATTTAAACTTTTATGTTTAACTGGATTAATTAAATTTTTGTAAATTTGAAAAAAAGATTACTTGATTTCTTTTTAATTTGTGCACAATTAAATCATGGGCACTCCTTGACCATGAAATAATCTGCACGGACTGTCAAATTGATCAGGTTGCGCTAAAAAATCACCAGAACTAGGCATACCAAATCAGAAACGCAAAAAAGTTAAAATTTCGGGGCATCTATTGTAGTCTTAATTATTGCGTTACATTATTGGGTCATGACAATTTTAAGTGGCATACTATTTATCACACTACATTTAGCTATTGCATGCAGCCATCAGTTCGTTGACATTAGCCAAATGCCACCCTCAAGAAGAACTCACGATTTATCACTAAATTGGTCATGGTTTACCATTTGGCTTTGCACTCTGTGAGTTTGGGAAAACTGTTAACTGATTTTAATGTTTAGCAATATGATGTGGTTTCTTCTAGGGCTTTATACAACTAGGACTTGCCTCTCTAAGATAATTTTTTAAAGTAGAGTGGATTCGTCTTAAAGGAATTTGACCATTTGTTATTACAAACATTTTGTCCTTCATTATAGAGATCAAAAACAATTTCTCTTATGAATATTGTCATTATCACACTCCTAGTTATTCTTTGCCTCACAGCAATTAGCAGATATATTAACACTGCTTTAGATATACAAAACACTTAGTTTGAATGTCCCTTTGGTTGTAGCATTATCTGCATAACTCCATATAAAAGTTCCAGAACTTTCAAAACTTATTTTTGACTTGAAACCATTAAATTCCCTAATTCCATTTTACTGTCAAAAACATATTGACTTTGTTCACTACGAATTCAAAAATTGTTTTATTATTCACTTTAACTAAATAAAATATTATTAAAACTAATAAATGCAAAACATTTTTAAAACTTTGCTAATTTTTTACTGAAACAAAACTTGTTTATTACAGGCCTTGTCGTTTTATTATACTGTAAATATGTTCAAAAGCAGTTTCTTCGCTTTGTAGCATTTTTCAGATGCTTTTTGCTGAAAAGCTTTCGCTTATTGTGTTTAGAAATTACGGTAAATATCGCTATTATTTTATTTTTCAAAACCCTTTTTCAATGGCGTCAATAATTGTAGAAACTATTATCCGTAGATGTAACGTTATAATTGCAGATGTCGAGAGTTATCTGCAGGTAATTGACCAATCATCGCCAAAATTGCTTACATCGTGAATTATATTGGGCATTATTACCAATACGATCAAGACAGCAAAATTGGAGTTAATTTATCATTATTTATTGCATTTCGATGGATGGAAATTTGATGTTCACATTATATATTTCAAATACTCTTTTAAATTTAATGCGCGAAGTAAACGCTGTTTTTTCAAATTTATTTCATTCGTTTATGATACGAATTTATTAAATTTAGGCAACGTTCCAATATAATTCATCGCTTTGGAGCAACAAGGAGAGTTATATGACAGAAAATGGTGAAACTGGATTAGATCAAAATGAAACAAAACTTCCTACTTACTGGAGCACTAAAATAAAGAAGATGTGTGTTGGAATGAAAGTAAACAGTACAATAAAATTCATAAGTTTTGAAATGCAAGCTGAGTCCTTATACGACCTCATTGCTGACGGAAAATATACGAAAACCACTTTGCGTCGTAGCCAATGGTTCACATTAGTTGAAAACAGCTTCCTTCAACAATATTGTGATAAAGAAGGCTTTAACGTCGTTGGACAACTTAATGTAAACGCTCGTGTAAAGCTTGGCATTTTGGGAAATGAGCAAAACGACTGTATTACACCTGATTCTTTCATTGGCTTTGGTGGATCACATGAATGTAATTCTTGCGTCGTGAACAGCTGTGGTAATTTTGTTTCTTGGAGTAGCAATGACAAAAATGTTCGAGCTATGGGATATATTTTTGTTATTTAGTAACTGTTATACAGGCAATGCTTGACGTTTTAATTGTCTCATTTTTTTTATGGAAAAGCAAAACGAAACCAAATCGTAAAAGTTATACTTCATTAAAATAAGATTATGATATACTTCATTGCAAACTAAATGAATGTGTATAGTTTTAATCGAAATGCAACAATTTCTTTGTATTTCCGAAACTTGTTATAAATATTTAGTTTTTATGTCGAACAATTCTTTTAAATGCAGGAGAACAGTCAAAAATTGCTGTTAATTGCTAGAGTTAAAGAAAAATGTTTAAGCCGCTATGTTTTGTTCTTGACTGTACTGTTTCGTTTATCCGTAATGTTTTACGTGCGTCTTTGCGTGCACAATGTACAAGAACACTTTTCAATTAATTTTTAACTGATGAATGAATACATGTTTTAGATGGATCACTCATGCATTTTCTTTTGCGCAATTTGGGACAAACCATCGACAATGATATGGCATCGCAATTGCAGAACATAACAAAGAACATCAAAGAGCGTCTGTCTAACACTTTAATTTTACGGTCTTTCTTGATAACATCAGGCGGAAAATACGCTAATATGCTTGTTAGATTGATAACATGAACGTCAAGTACACACCAAAGATATCCGTAAAATTAGACCTAACGGAATAGCTGCGTCTGTTTCCGGGGATGGGAGTTAGCTTTCTTGAACACGCTGCACGGATTTGTTGTCACAATACTTTGGCTATAAAAGCTGATGCACAATGCATTGCTGCTCAAAATTAGAAAGGTATATTTCAGTTTAGATTACTTTTTAAACATGTATTGCCCGGTTCACGGTTGCAACAGCGACTTCAAAAAAAGAAGAATGATATTCTTTTCTTTCGTTTTTCCTCATATAAAATCAGAAGCACAGCAGAAGAGAAGAAAACTATGAATTGATTTTTGCAAAAGGAAATCATTCGAGCCATTGGCGAACATCAAAATTTGCTCGCTACATTTTGCAGAAGACGCGTACGAAACAGGGTGTACAAAGAAATTTCTTCATCAAATAGAGTGCGAGGAATCATTTCGATTACGGTTAAAGAGCAATGCTGTGCCAACATTAAACAAACCATTATCTGTAACCCCATCAACTAAGTGGCATTTTTTCTAAGAAAAGCAACGTAAAAAGGTGATTTTTTACAAGAAAACTTCTTTCATATGACGACCATGCTTACAATTATTAATTACATTTTACACAGGACATTACAGAACTTTTAGCAGATAGTGAAACCCCTATTACACAAGAATAATCTAATGAAGACGAAGAAACAGAAAATGAAGAAAATTAAAATTCAAATGCTATCAGCATTTCGCAATTGGTGTTTTCCAATTCACGAGAAAGGTCTACACAAACATAAAAGAAATTTGCACAAAATCAGTAACTGACACTGATAACATCAAGCTCGGCCACTTTTCAAGGAAAATATCTTTTTCCTAGTTTGACTGCCACAATTTCGTTTTGCTCCAGAATATCAGCAATCGAGAATGAAGACATTGCCAATTCTGCACCCAGTTATAGCAAGGATGCCACAGATTTTGTGTCATCTGCAGCGGCAGAGGTTGACAGTGAGATCACGAAAAGTGCCACTTCAAATCTGGATCCTGGATTTATAGATAGCGATGCTGAATTTTCAAACTTGTCCCCGTCCACAAACTGTGATAAAAGCAGCGGAGAAGAAGTTAGCTCAAAAGAACAAGTCTTAATTAAAGGAAAACCGCCTGAAAAACAGATGAAACTTATCGTGTTCGAGGATGCAATTGTAGATATTTTCGGTCGTTGCTGTCGATGTCATGCGAAATGCATTGTAGCAATTGAAAATCGATTTGGTTCCTCTTGCAATATTAGCGTTTCCTGCACGGCTAAACCTGAACATTCTTTTACATGGGCAACTGGACCAATGCTATTCAAAAAGTCAGTATTTCATTTAATATTAGCATCTGCAATTCTTGCAACAGGCATGGAATCTTCCAAGATTGTTCGGCTGTTTAATGCGCTTAACATTCCTAATCTGAAGCAGCGAGAGTTGTAAAGTATATTAAAAAGTTGTGCAATTCCTTCAATATATCAAGTTTGGCGAGCGGAACAATCTGCAAGATTGAAGGATATAGACGCTGAGCCAATTGCTATTGCATCTGATATGCGGGTCGATAGTGATGGTCATAGTGGACTTTTGGGATCAGGAAGTACTTTGGACATGAAAAGAAACATTGTTTTAGATACACAAGTAGTGAAGGTATTACCCTGACATTTCTATTAAGTTTTTTGAAATTCCTTTGTTAGCAATTTGAATTTATTTACAGAATTGAATAAAATTCAGATAATGTTAATCTTTCGTTTTGCAGTCAACTGAAGCAAAAAAATTCAAACGCGATGGCACTTCGTTAAAAAGTCAACTTAAATACTTGGAAGGCAATGGGGCTAAAATGAACAAGCTGGTGACAGACCGCCATGTCCAAGTATCTGCTTACATGGCAAAAGAGAAACCAGGAGTAGATCATGCATATGATGTCTGGCATGTGGCAAAAGTTATATATATTTATGTATGTATGGTTTTAATTTAAAATCTCTGGCATGAAAATATATAAAATTCTATGATATTGAAAAGTAAGTCTGTTATTAAGTAAAGGAAGTTTTTCAACAATCTTGAATATACTTTAGGGGAAAAAAAGAATTGATATACAGTTTTGTTTTCTTCAGAATAGCCATCAACAAATCTAACTAAAATTTTTCTTTCTCCATTAATCGTTAGTTTGTATTCAAAAGTGTAATCAATTTCATCTAATTCAACTTTAACTTCACTTAACCAACATAATGCTATTAAACTTTGCATGGTATTACCCCTGTACCCAAATAATGGAATTTGTGCAATTTTATAATCTTGTAAATGATTACTTCTAAAAATTTTTAGTGTTAAACCAGCAATTGTTATGCATGTTTTATCGTAGAAAAGGTAAATTATTTGTAATGTTGTAGATTAAATTTGAAAATATTATACATCCAAGTCTTAGTAAGTTAGTTAGAAAATAACAAGCAGTACAATTTCTTAAGATGGTTGCAATCTTTTGCTTTCTTCCCTAATCAAATTTAACTTCACAAAAAAAAACATGACGAAAACATATGACTTAATAGCTACATTAAAATTTGAATGTGCTGATTTTAAGCTTCTCTATATATATTCAATGACCAGGACAAATGAGAAATTGATGAGGATTATTATTGTCCGTTTTCGGAATTTGTTTTATTTTTTTCTAAATATATTCTGTAGAGTAGAGCAGGTCGCAAAACGTATAATCGGCAAGCTCTGGGTCGGAGAGAGTAATCCGTACTTTTTAATTGAAACCAAATGGTAAAAAATAAATTTAAGCGTGAGCATAACCTTAAACATAAAAATATTTTAGCGAAAATTTGCTGCAAGTTTTGCAAAAAACTCGATTTAAAAGTAATTTGTTAATGGTATATTGTATTTCTTTATAACCTTATTAATAATATACATGAAAAAACTCCGCAATTAATTAGTATCATAAATACCAGGACCAAAAACAGGGAAAAAGATAAAGGAAACCCATTGCAATTTTTTTTTTGAAAAAAGCGCGCTCGTAACTGTTTAGTCAAACAATGAAGTGATCTAAGACAAAATAAAACATTTCAACACCGGTGGAAGTTAAACTATACTAAACAAAGCAATTCCAATGAAAGGCGTGAAGACGTAAGTAAAAAAAAAAAATTGGTGGATGAGCTTACAGTTCACCGTTTGCAAGATGTTTCTGGATGAAAATATGAATATTTCAATAAGTAGCTTTATACAGTTACCTTGTTATAGCTGTATGTGCGTAAGCTATTGTATTATGAAAAGTGATATCAGACGAAATTGAGAAATTCCCTTTCGATTAATATTAATATTTTACCGGCTAAAATGTACGTACGCTGAAGTTAAAAATCAAGAGAAAAGAGAATTATTTTCGTGTCTATTATTTGTAATAGAATATAGCTTCTCGAGAGAAGGACTTCTCGTCTTTCGGACTCGTACAATTTTGATAAATTTGAAAAACTCACTCGAGCATGTTTTCCCTAATTTTCACTGGAAATCATATTATTAATTATAACAATTGCAATTTTCTTAATTATTTAGTAACTACTCACATTTGGATTAATTTACTTTCAAATTTATGTCTAAATGGCCAGAATTATAAAAATATGACATTTAAAAAGGAAAAATTCAAAATAATCCGCAATTTGAAAGCTAAGCTTTGACTTACAGCACTTGTCATATTTTAGCCAATGTGTTCAAATCACTTTTTGGCTAAGTCATTTTCGTGTGCATGCTATTTTGAAACAGCTTCTTTTAACAAAATATCCACTCTAACTATTTGCAGACGTTTTTCTCTCAGATTAACCATTGAAAGTTCAACTAACTATTTCACCAAAAAACCTTTCTAAAATTTTGCGTGCTGATAACTTTAGCAATGTTTTTAAATAACAGTACCGTTTCAAAGGCAAAGTACATCATCTTTTCTTTCCAAGCAGAATATGAATAAGATGCTGCTTGCTGCATTGTACCACAGTATAGGGATATACAGTAGGAACTCTGTGTGTAACTGGCTGCAGTAAATTTCATTAGATTTATGGCTGTCGTTAGCCATTTTATTACTCCCATATATTGGTCAAAAAAAGCAATTAACTGGCTGCAACTATGATAATCACATGCGTAATAAGATATGCGTGGCACAAAATATTCAATAGGGTGGCTCTATTATATAATCACTATATTGAGATTGTGCAATCTCTCTTTGAATAACGACATTTACTTCCAGTAGGCAATATAAGGAATTTTGATTCAACGCAAAGATTAAACACTGTACCATCTGAATTAGCTTGATAAACCTGCATCGCACACCTTGAAATTAGGCACATTTTTCGGCAATTTCTTTGAGTAGGTTTTTCTTAAAACTTTTTTTTGTTTTCCGATATGCAATGGCTTTGACAAAATTAATAAAAATCTAAGCAAATTAAATAAGATGAATTGAGAAGGGTTTCTTTTCCAAAATAATTTGGTACAAAAAACTGACACTTTTTTCATAACTAATGCTTAGAGAGATATTCAGGACAATTGAAGAGTCTTTGTTCCCGACATTCAAGAAAAGTAAGCTATTTTTACACCAGAACTTTTGCGTTGGTTTTTTTTCTAAAATACGGTTTTTAAACTCTTCGGTATCAACCATTTGCAGAACTTGCAAAACTCTGAAATTTTAAGTCATTAGCTTTTCTGGAAATATTAAAATTTTTATCATAATAAAATCTCTGTTTAATTTAATTCATAATATTTTATGTTTAGTTTTGTCTTCATGCGAGGAGGCAATGAGAAATAACAGGTATAAAAAAGTAAATTTACCATATTTAAGTGAATAATTTACAGAATATATAATATAACTAATGTGTAACCAAAGATCAATTAAGGTATAAACTTGTGTTTTAATCAAATATTTAAAATTTTCGGACTACAATATTTCGTATTGCAATATAAATATTTTAGAAATTACAGTTGGTGTTATTTTTGCTCTAGTCTATCAAAAATGGATTTGGCTTCAATTTTTTGGTCCAATAAATTTACCATTTTATTCAATTTTTTTAAATGATATTATTTAAATTGCAATTATCACTCATGATCTTATCTTAGCATTATTTTGTTTTTTTTCTCTAATTAACACTCGTCTTAAATAGTTTAAAGACGGGATGTACTTCATCAGCACCAACAATTTAATGGGATGCAGCAAAGTTTTTTGTATGCGTAAAAGGTTGCTCAAGAGAAGGCTGGAGACTAGTCTTGAAAATTGATGGAACAAAGGTAAAAAGGAATTATTTTTGAATGTTTTGATAGATAATAAAAAATTTTAAGAAATCTAATTCCTAAACACAATGATTTCTTCCTAAAATTAGTTCTTATAATATCAATGTTTATCATAAAAATGATCTATTTTATTCGCAAAAAGAAGTGAAAGCAATAAAATCTTAAAATTTTTAATGATGTTAGAGGTGGTATGGATTTCTCTTCTCTTAAAAAACACATTATGTGCATGCATTCCCATTAGACATGCTAAATTTTTTCACTTTTTAATATTGCATATAATTATTACTTCCAAGGTTGGATGGCATTAGAATTAAATACTAGAATACTTTCTTTTTCCATGCACTTTATTTATCAATGATAGCTGCGATTTTCTATGACACTTTCCGTAAATACTGTATTGTTGCATCAATTGCATCGCCTAAGCGTTTTC